TATTTTAGAGTACTTTTCTTGAGAAAAATAAAAACAATTGTCTTCTGGTTTACCAGCAATTAATGCATTTAACTGTTCAAGAAGAAGATCACCATTTACTGCAGTATCCATTCAATATAAATTACGGTATTGGAAAAAAAATTAAGAAAACGTTGCTCGCATCATCAAAGCTTGCATAAGATTGACAAAGCTGACTGACTCACAGCAGAACACAGGATTTGGCGGGAGAGAGCCAGTCGCTTCTTTGTTGGCTCCTCTCTTTTGGACCTCCACCAGAGCATATCTGTGATTGTCGACATAGACCGGTGAAGATCCGAATGTACAAGAATGTAATAAAATATTTAGTCTTTCACCGACGTATTTGGTATCTGTTGACATTCACCGGTGAAAGTCGACATTCTCCAATTTCGGTCTTTCACGGTAACATACATGTATATACATAAGTATAATAAGTATGTCTAAATTTTATTATTCAACATGTCTGATCACTGATGAAATTGTTGTCGAATACAAATATTCTGTTAATATGTACCTGTTTCAATTCAATGGAGTCGATGAGCTCGTGGATCCTCCTTATGGTGTCCAAAATGTCCTTCGCAGTTTCTCTGCTCATTGAACTCACTAGATTTCTACCTGAAACGGTAACAAGGATAATGAAACTTATAATTATTAATATAAAAATTATATTTAGTAGCATTCAATACTTTTAAATAATTGTTTTCATACTCTTACATAATTGCTTTTATACGTTCAAATAATTGTTAACAAATTTACTTTAAACTGTGTTAATAATACGAACGATACGAAAGAAAAATATACTGATCGAATTGAGTAACCTCTTCCTTTTTCGAAGTCGGTTAATTATATTATACAAGTTTGAATAAATATTCCTACCTTCATAGTTTCCTCCTATGACGTCAGTTTTATACAAATACATATATGAAACCTAATTAGTTAACACTAAAACTACCAAACCGGTCAAATGACTGCTCTACAAGTTTCTTATTATAAGGTACACATTTTGTTAGAGTACATTCCTTAAAATCAGCATTGATTTTCATCAAGATAAAAAATAGATGTGTGTACTAATTTATATTTCGTCGTTTGCTTATTTATTTTTTAACTTCATTTTCAATTTCAAATTAAGTACATATTATATGTCGGTAGGTTTAGTGTTAACAAGGTATTTGTGAATTAAAGAAATGTTTATAAGAAACTCAGAATTATACCTGATTGAAGAACATGTCGTGCGATGGATATCAATTCAGTGCTGATCCCCCAATACGATTCCAAATCGTCATCTGACTCGGACATTCGAAACCCATCTAGACTTGTTAATCTTTGGTGCAAGTCAGTCATTCTGGATACAAGATTAGTCGCTTCTTTGCAGTAATCTTCTATTTTCTACAAAAATAGAACAATCATAATCGCACATTGATTTTTACCCACGCACTATTCATTTATTCAGCTAGTTAACGAATTGCGTTACAAATGATCATAAATTACAGTGAAAGTAATTACAACTTTCTAAGAAAGCGTGCATAATAAAACTGCATTCAATTGCATACATTAATAATATTTCCTGTATATTCAATCAACTCTTCAAGAATACATTAAACTGAAGAAACCTAATAGTTATTCTCGAACAATATATTTATATTCATCAACTACCGTAACAACTACTATTACTATAACTACTACTACTGCCATTATAAATGCATTTATTCTAAATTACCGAGTCATGCAGACGCGTTCAAAAGAAATCTAAAATATTAGGTTTTATGTGGAAAATGATGGATTTCGAAAGTAGAAGACAAATGACATGACTTAGTGACATAAATTTCTTTGGCAGTGCAATTTTAAAATGGCTCACAAAAATAGCTACCTATTTTATCTTTAAACCTAAAAATCTGAAAGCAGAAGTGAAGTCACTAGGTTAACAAAGATTTCTATGGCAGTGCAAATCTAAATTTATGATTTCACAAAAACCACCTAAATATTTTATCTTCAAACTTAAAGATCTGAAAACAGAAATGAAGTAATCAGGTTAACAAAGATTTCTGTGGCAGTGCAAATCTAAATTTATGGTTTCACAAAAACTACCTAAATATTTTATCTTTAAACTTGAAGATCTGAAAGCAGAAGTGAAGTCACTAGGTTAACAAAGATTTCTATGGCAGTGCAAATCTAAATTTATGATTTCACAAAAACTACCTAAATATTTTATCTTCAAACCTAAAGATCTGAAAGTAGGAGTGAAGTAATAACTAACTAAGATCAAGTATGACTATCTAATAATTATCTAAACCTTCATCTAAACCTTCATGATTTGCCTTGTCATCGACTAAATATTTTATCTTCAAACCTAAAGATCTGAAAGTAGAAGTGAAGTAATCGCTAACTAAGATCAAATATAGCTATCTAATGATTATCTGAACCTTCATAAACCTAAAGCCTTCATGATTTGCCTTGTCATCGACTTCAGCTTAAAACGATTACATCGCGCATTGATTACAGATAATTTACCACACGTTTCTGGATCCATTCCGCATGATCGTAAGGTTTATTACCACCCAGCTCGTACGGCAGCTGAGCAAAATCAACATGAAGGTGAAGCCTCGTCAGAATGAGATACGTCGGCTGAAACAACAACGAGGTGAATTAATTCGCGTCACGAACGCTGCAAGAAACTCGCGATTAACTCGTCGTTTTCATGCTTTTTCGAAGAAGACCATTTAGGCGGCTATGTATGATAGTTCCATTAATATCATTCAGAACGGGTATTCTTGACGGGTTTTTAAATAGTATTATTAAACGAGTTTGACTGGTCGAAGGGAAATTAGAAATTATATTGTATAAAATGTCTCTTGTATATTGTTTGAAAACAAAATTAAACATTTGTGATCGTTTTTGGTGGATTTGGATCTTTGTATCTTGTACGTCTGATAAGTTGGCAGGTGAAAATAACGAGAAGCGTATTAATTCGAGTGTCTTCTTTTCAGACACGTGAGATGAGCTCAAAGGTTTTTACTATTAATCCAAAAAATATTTCTTTGTGCCCTGTCGCATAAGTTGGCACTTGCAAGTAATGAAGAGCGTATTGATTCATGTGTCTTCTTTTCAGACACGTGAGATGTTCTTTTTAGGGTGTTTACTATTAATCTAAAAAATATTGTATCCAATCTAATATCAAGAATTTTATTATTGTGAGTGTTGTATTTTTATGAAAACGCTTGCAATGTATAAACCTGTGTCAGCTTCAAGCGCCAACTAATGGGTTGGCAACAGTATGTTGATTGTTAGATGTAGAATTATGAACTAACCTCGCCTTCTTTGTGGGATTTCGTACAACTGTCCACCCTTTTGTCCCAAAAACCATCAGGTCTCACCACGATGACCGAAGCTGCAGATGGTCCCAAAAGTACCATAGATAATCGAATGCACGATCTTGCAACACGCCATGCACCTCTTCTTGCGTCGACGATTAGAACCAAACCAGCTTTTTTGGTTTCTTCGCTAATAATAATCGCATGTTTCATAATGAATATTTCAATTTTATAATCAATTTTAATCACTGTTTATTCATAAACAATTTTATAAAAATCATTTTATCATATCATCCATGAAACGAAATTTGATCATTGTTTATTCATAAACAATTTTATAAAAATCATTTTATCATATCATCCATGAAACAAAATTTGATCATTGTTTATTCATAAACAATTTAAAAAAAATCACTTTATCATATCTTTCATGAAACAAATTTGATAAAATCATTTTGTCACTTATTTTTACCCAGAATCACTTAATAAAATCATTCTATTACACTTTTTAATAAAAAAAAATTCTTAAAGTAAGAAATCTGTCACCCATCCAATAAATCAGAAAATTAAAAATCACATCACAATAAAAATTAAAGACCTAATTTATAACTATGCTTTGCACGATAAAAGTCTCTTATATAAAAATTGTAAGATATCAAAGAATTACCTAAAAGTCGACAAGAAGTAGGCGATAAGAGCTTCGAGCCATGGTTTAGTGTTCGGTTGCAGTTCCGAAGGAACATTGACCACGATCAAAGGCCTTCCCTCAGGATCTCTTCCTCCTGGAACGTATGCGAGCTTCGATTCGAGGGCTTCCAAAATTTCTACCGCCTCCAGGTTCTTCGTGGGCATGATTGAATATTTCGCTACTTCATCTCTTTGAATACACGAGAGTCTCTCGCAAAACAACTTCACTGAACAAATCTTGCGGCTGCATATTTAATTAATTTCTTCTTTAGGAAAAAATTTTAAGGCACCTGAAAATTGCAGAGTTGTAAAAAAATTAGATACATATATTGTTACATCTTCAACCTGTTTCAGTTTGTTGATCAAATATTTGAAGTCGTTTAAAAATTTTAGAATTGAGCAACAAAGAGATACACTATGTATTTGATTTGAGATTACACCTTCAAAAATTTCTTCTATCAAGTAGATGAAATCGTTTTAAAATTGCAAAGTTATGCAAGAAATAAGATACGCTGCATACTGTTACTTTTTCAACTAATTTCTTCTTATTAGATCAAATATTCAAATTCGTATAAAAATTGCAAAGTCCATAAATATAAGATATACTATTACACCTACAACTAATTTCTTCTTAAACCAAATATTCATGCAAAAATTCCAAATGTCCAACAAACATATTATCTAAAGTCACAGGATCATTAGATTATCAAACACCATCCAAAAACAGCAAATCTGACCAAAAATTTAGAATTGAAGAATTGAAGAGTTGAAGAGTTGAAGAGTTGAAGAGTTGAAGAGTTGTAGAATTGAAGAGTTGGAGAGTTGAAAAATTGAAGAACTGAAGAGTTGAAGAGTTGAAGAATTGAAGAGTTGAAGAATTGAAGAGTTGTAGAATTGAAGAGTTGAAGAGTTGAAGAATTGAAGAATTGAAGAGTTGAAGAATTGAAGAGTTGAAGAATTGAAGAGTTGAAGAATTGAAAAATTGAAGAATTAAAGAATTGAAGAGTTGAAGAATTGAAGAATTGAAAAAATAAAGAAACATCAGACAATAAATATATGATAACAAAACCAATGCTATAACCAATAATCCCTCGTGCACTGTTTTATGGTGTTTAACGGTTTAAATTATAGGTTCCAGGGAATTCTGGCGATTCATAGAAAGTGGAACGTCCTGGCAGGTAACAGTAGACAGCCAGGTAAACGATCGGTGTCACGAACGATCGACGGAATTGTGTTACACGCGATCAGGTTCGTTGACTGTGAAAAACAGCCTTGTGGTTTCGCATACCATGATAGGTTCGTCTGTGTAACTGATTTTTGTGAAGTGACCGAAAGAATGAATTGTATAGGGTTTCGTAATTTGCATTCGAAGAACGCGGTGAAAGTTAAATGCTCCTGAAGACAAACATCACACCTTTCCTGCTGAACCTTGACCAACTGATACTTCAATGACCTGAACTGTTGAAGGAAGTGTTCAATTAGCGAGCGGGAACTGTTTGAGAAATTAAATATCTAACTCTTGGTTGGAATTACGCTGCTTATTGTTTGAAATTTGATAAAGTTTATATGGACTTTTAAGCGAAGATAATAATTGATAAAAATTGATAAAATTTAGTCAAAAATTTATGTGTATTGATAAAATCATGTTCTGCAAATTTCAAAATGAATTTCATAATTTCTACTAAATGTACTTAATAGTGACTACAGCTTCAACGAAAATTCTTAGCAATTTTATCAGAGAAATATGCTAATCTGATATTTACTGACTCTAAAAATAAACCTATACCTAACGTTTACCATTTGCATATTGATCATTCATGGAATCGTAAAATGAGATTCATCGTGTAAAATTGTTTAAGCTGCAAAACAGAATTGTTCACTCAAATAAAACTATCGAGTCATTGCAATTTGTTGGAATCATTAATAAATTTGCAAATTGTTTTAATTAGTTCTAAGTTCTTCCTGTTCAAGATAAACCTTTCGCCAATACACGAATTACTAAAAGAATCACCAAAAATTATAATATAATTAAACGAGTCAACCTTGTCAAACCTGAAGAGTTGGACAGCAAACGTACTGCAACCATTTATGAAGCGTCAATTTATTCACTGTGCAGATAATCCTGTTAAACTTGTCACCAACTCACGAATCACTAATGAGATCACTGAGAAACTGAATTAAATTCGTTGCGTCGGTTCGGTAAACGAGTCCCTGAACCGACTAAGCAAACCTGAAACGTTGAACTGTGAACACTCTCAAATAATTTATAGAACGACAATTCCTTGATCCAATTTCCTGATGTTGAACCTGTCACCAGCACAGGAGTCACTAATGAAATCACTAAAACCGGGCATAAAATTCGTTGCGCATAGTCGGTTTAGTAAATGGGTCCCTTGAATCAACTCGTCAAACTTGAAGTATTCAACTATGAACGCTCTCAAATAATTTATAGAACGAATTTCCTGATCCAATTTCCTGATGAAGTAATTGAACATGTCGCCAGCACAAATCCCCAACAAAATCACTAAGGAACATAATAAAATTCGTCGCTCATAGTCGGTTCAGTAAACGAGTCCCCTGAATCAACTCGTCAAACCTGAAGCACTCAACTACTAGCGTTATCAAACCATTTGTGGAACGTCGATTGATTTCCTGTTCAACTGATCGTGTTAAACCTGTCACCACCGTACGAATCACCAACAAGATCACCAGAGAGCAGACTGAAATTTTTTTCTCTACAATCAGTTCGTTAAACGAGTCTGAAACGACTCGTCAAACTGGAAGTGTTTAATTAGGGACTGTCTTAGACTGTTTGGGGAACGATTTCCTGTATATGTGATAGGTGTTAAAGTTATCAGCATGTGGAACAACTAATAGAGGAATAATTAACAAAATTAGCAAACGGTACAAAATTGTGCATAGTTGGTTCAGTGAACAAAAATTGTCAAATGTGAAATATTTAACTTGAGATATGATGATCAATTTTTTGTGGAACGTCGATTGATTTCCAGTGGAGTGAACGAATCACCAGAGTAAACTTGTCACCAACACAGAAATAATTAACAAAATCACCGAAAATAACAAAATTGCGCATAGTCGGTTCAGTGAACAAGTATTCTAAATCGACTCAAACCTAAAATATTTAACTACGAATTATGATAAACCTTTTGTGCAACATCGATTGATTTCCAGTAGAGTGAATGATCACCAAACTTGTCACCAACCCACGAACCACCAATAAAATCACTAAAAATAACAAAATTACCCATAGTCGGTTCAGTGAACAAGTGTTCTAAATCGACTCAAACTTAAAATATTTAACTACGAATTATAATAAACCTTTTGTGGAACATCCATTGATTTCCTGTAGAGTAAACAAATCTAAACTTGTCACCAACCCATGAATCACCAGTAAAATCACCGAAACCTAAACCTAAAATATTGAACTACGAATTATGATGAACCTTTTATGAAACGTCGATTAATTTCCTGTAGAGTGAACGATCACCAGAGTAAGCCTGTCACCAACTCACGAATCACCAGTAAAATCACCAAAAAGAACAAAATTGCGCATAGTCGGTTCAGTGAACAACTATCCTCAAACCTGAAATATTGAGCTACGAATTATCACAAACCATTTGTGGCGCTGATTTCCTGTACATCCTGTACAATTTCCTGTACAAGTGAACGCGTTAAACTTATCACCAACACAACTAGCAAAATCCCGAAAGAAAAAAACAAAATTACGCACAGTCGGTTCACTAAACAAGTTTGAATCGACTCGTCAAACCTGAAGCGTTGAACGGCAAACGAACCGAGAGCACTTTTACGAGGTTGATCGAGTAGAAACGATTGGTTACATCGTGGCGATCGACGCGTTACCCGGGTAACTGCAGCAGCTGTTTAGTGGACGTTCACGGTTGCAGGTGCACGTGGCTCTGGAACGGTGGTCACCATGGCGGAAACGCACGCGGAAATGTTGTTGGCGCGCAAAAAAGGAACGGAACAAGAAAAATGAAAAGTGTCGCGACCGCTTTCACGTGCACACACGAGCGGGACCACGTGCTGTGTACGTGGAAAGACGTGGAGCTGCAGCTGCGACGGAGGCTGCAGGGAAACCGAAAGCCATCTCGTTGCTCCATTCAGGTACAACGGTACTCTGGCACCGATTAACCGTCTTCCCCTTCTCCTTGCCCCTCCATCTGATCTTCCTTCTCTCTTTTCCCGCCTTCTTTCTGCCGGGCGGCCTCTTTTGTATTCCTCGCGAAAACGTGGTACCCGGGGAAAATTGACGGTGACACTCCTCGCATAGGAATTAGAATTTGGTTAGAGAAAATTAGTTATTGCGTGTGCAGCTGTTTTGAGGTGGTTTGAATTTCAGGGTAATTGAATTTTGATAGTGGGGACTTGGAATCTTCAAATTTTCAAATCTTCAAAGTTCCAAATATCCCAAGTTCCAAATCTCTCAAATTCCAAATATTCCATGTTCCAAATCTCCCAAGTTCCAAATCTCTCAAATTCCAAATATTCCATGTTCCAAATCTCCCAAGTTCCAAATCTCTCAAATTCCAAATCTCCCAAGTTCCAAATCTCCCAAATTCTAAATCTCCCAAGTACCAAATCTCTCAAATTCCAAATATCCCATGTTCCAAATCTCCCAAGTTCCAAATCTCCCAAATTCTAAATCTCCCAAGTACCAAATCTCTCAAATTCCAAATATCCCAAATTCCAAATCTCCCAAGTTCCAAATCTCCAAGGTTCCAAATCTCCCAAGTTCCAAGTCTCCTAAGTTCCAAATCTCCCAAGTTCCAAATCTCCCAAGTTCCAAATCTCCCAAATTCCAAATCTCCCAAGTTCCAATCTCTCAAATTCCAAATATTCCATGTTCCAAATCTCCCAAGTTCCCAATCTCTCAAATTCCAAATATTCCATGTTCCAAATCTCCCAAGTTCCCAATCTCTCAAATTCCAAATATTCCATGTTCCAAATCTCCCAAGTTCCAAATCTCCGAAATTCCAAATCTCCCAAGTTCCAAATCTCCCAAGTTCCAGATCTCTCAAATTCCAAATCTCCCAAGTTCCAAATCTCCCAAGTACCAAATCTCTCAAATTCCAAATCTCCCAAGTTCCAAATCTCCCAAGTACCAAATCTCTCAAATTCCAAATCTCAAATTCCCAAATCTCTCAAATTCCAAATCTCCCAAGTTCCAAATCTCCCAAGTTCC